AAAAATTTTTCTTCAATGACTGGAGTTTTCTTTCATCTTACAGTTATTTTAGAGAAGCAAGGCAGTGTGACATAGTAGAAATAATTGAGGGCCATGAGTCAAAAGACTTGGTTTCCAGCTGTCATGGGAAATCATTTCATCTCTTTGAGGCTTGGTTTTCCCTAGGAGTTATTAAGCCATATACAGAAGAATTCCTTGGGTCCCTTTTAGCTTTAAGAGTCTGTGATTCTAGAAAGCAAGGAGCTGTTTCTGAGGGAGGATAAAGGAAACACACGCCGGGTGCAGTGGCTCAAACCTGTAATTCCAGCACTTTGGGAGGCTGAGGCTGGTGGATCCCTTGAGCTCAGGAGTTCAAGACTGGCCAGTACAACATAGTGAGACCCTGTCTCATTGCTGTTTTAACATTTTTTAATTAAAAAAAAAAAGAAATATAATGAAAGATGAGGGAGGCAAGAAGAGACAGAATCTAAGAAAAACAAAGAAAGCTTTGGAGAGCAAGGTACATTGTACTGTAAAGTCAACATGCTCCCTGTTAACTTCCTTGGAAAAGTGGAATCAACTTTTTGAGCTTTTTATCTTTTCTTCTGTGTCCTGGCTGGTAGAAATACAAATAAGCACTAAACTGGAGAAAAGCAGGGAGCTGGGGGAATAAGGACGAGAAATGGAAGGATGGATCATTTAGACACTGCAATGCCAGCCCCAAGTCTTCTAGAAATGAAGGTGACAATTTGGCCCTAAAGTTCAAAAAGGTTAAAAAGGATTTTTTTTGTGTGTGTCTGCCTGGGCTGCTCCCAATAATCTTAATTCAAGAGGATCCCCATGGTTTAATTTATCCAGAATCTTCTCCTAAACCTTTTGCAGTGTGCATCAGCTGAGATTTCAACAACAGATGGTTGTCCTGAAGGTACTTTGATAGGTGAAATTTAGAAAAGATTCTTGGTCCTAAATGGAATCTAATCTTTTACTGTCTAAACCGATTTGGATTCATTTCAGACCAACTTATTCTTAGAAATATATTTACAGAGGCTGGGTATGGTGGCTTACACCTGTAATCCCAACCCTTTGGGAGGCTGAGGCAGGTGGGCCACTTGAGCTCAGGAGTCTGAGACCAGCCTGGGCAACATAGTGAGACCCGCATCTCCACAAAAAATTTAAAAACTAGCTGGGTGTTGTTGGGAGCAAGCCCCCCAAAATCCGGCCATAAGCTGGCCTCAAAATTGGCCATAAACAAAATCTCTGCAGCACTGTAACATGTTCATAATGGCCTTAACGCCCATGCTGGAAGGTTGTGGGTTTATGGGAATGAGGGCAAGGAATACCTGGCCCGCCCAGGGTAAAAAACCGCTTAAAGGCATTCTTAAGCTACAAACAATAGCATGAGCAATCTGTGCCTTAAGGGCGTGTTCCTGCTGCAGTTAACTAGCCCAACCTATTCCTTTAATTCAGCCCATCCCTTCGCTTCCCATAAGGGATACTTTTAGTCAATTTAATATCTATAGAAACAATGCTAATGACTGGTTTGCTGTTAATAAATGTGTTGGTAAATCTCTGCTCAGGGCTGTCAGCTCTGAAGACTGTGAGACCTCTGATTTTCCACTTCACATCTCTATATTTCTGTGTGTGTGTCTTTAATTCCTCTAGTGCTGCTGGGTTAGGGTCTCCCCAGCCGAGCTGATCTCGGCAAGTGGCGTCCATCTT